AAGGGCTTAGAATTTTTTTCTTGAATCGAATAAATATAAACACTTTGAATTCATCTATGTGATGAATTCGCGGTGGAGACTAGACACTTGAGCTTGAGATCTCGGTATGTCTTGCGTGAGTCTGTCTTTTGTATACACCGAAGGTTTTTTTTTGGCTTATACCATGGGCCGGTAGACTTGGATACCTGTCATTTGATTTATTGGGCTAGATATGTGCCCAATTAGATAATCCATAAAATAAGAATTTATTACTTATTTAAGGATTAATCCATCTGTGAAGCCCAAATATGTTATGGACTTAGATTTAAGACCCAATTAATAACCAATTTATTTGGTTATTAATTGGTGATTTTTTATGACATTTCGGTGTCAACAGTACTTTCTCGTATTGAGCAGCTCATGCCGTTTTCTCTCTGGAGTTCTAAAGGTGAATCAAGAATTCATTGAGTTAAATCGCAGGAAATCTGCACGCCAGTTGAGGAAGGGGGCTTGGGCGTGCGTTCCTTACGTCAAGTTATGGAATGCCTGAATGTGAAGTTAATGTGGCAGGTTATTCAGGGCAACTCCTTATGAAAGGCCAAATATTGCAAAAAGCGGTCGATTCTTACCAGGCGTTCCGCGTCCCCTCTCTGGATTTCTATTCAAAGTCACTAGAAGTCGCTGGCAGAGTGTGCTCAATGGATCGTCGGTCGTGGACACTGTAAGTTTTGGGCGAATAATTGGCTCGGTGATATGCTAGAGGGGCCGATGCCAATTGATAAGACTTTAACGACTGCACAAGCTTTTGCTCAACTTTCGGAACTTTTACCTTTGATTCCTCATGCACTTCATGCTCGACTTAGACTCAACACATTGGATGCAAGTAAACCGGGCAGCCTTGTTTTCACTTTGTCTCCTTCAGGTGAATTCTCAAGTAAAGAATATTGGAAGCATATTCGGGTTTCTAGCAGAAGCGAGGGTTGGACTTCAAGGATCTGGAAACAGTATTTGCCATAGCGAATCAGTGCATTTATTTGGCAATTGATACATCATGCTCTACCTGTAGATCAAAGGATTATTTCTCGAGGTATCCGGATGGTTTCTTGATGTGTTTGCTGCCATTAACCCATGCAAGAAGATTTGAATCATCTTTTTCTCCAGTCGGAAGTCTCCACTCAGGTTTGGAAGTATTTTGGGAGTCGACTTCATCTCCAAGATCAATTTTCCTCAGCTAAACATTCGCTCTCTGTTTCGGTTCCGAAGCCAAATAATCTCTTGTATTACACGGTGGTTAGGTCATCGATAGTCTACCATATTTTTCGCGAAATATGGATAGTTCGTTGTAAGGTGCGCTATGACGATGGGGTGATGAGAAGTGGCGAGATTATTCGTAATATAAATCTTCAAGTTCACCAAGTGCATCATATCTCTACTCCTCGCCAGCCAAGTACAAAATTTAAAAATCTTCAACTTGAGGCAGCCAGCTTTCACGTTTTCCATATACCGGTGAAAAAAGGGGTATGGGATGCTCCTCCAATTGGGTAATACAAGTTAAATATTGACGGTTCGGCAACGGAAGAAGCTTGTACAAGAGGGGGGCTGATTCGAGATCATGAAGGGGTATTAATTGCTTCATTTTCAGTTTATTTTGGGGAGGGATCTAATAATGTTGCGGAGTTTTTTGCAATGGTGCATGGGCTGAATTTGTGTAAATTGTTGGGCGTTCATAATGTGATGGTGGAGAGTGACTCCATGTAGTTATTAATGCAATTCGGAGTAATAAGGTTAGTTGGGAGCTTGAATATTTTCTCCGGCTTTGTTGGCGAGAGATTGATCTTTCGTTTTCATTCATGCATATCGTTCGGCAAAAGAATAATGTGGCGGATCGGCTAGCGAGTTGGGCTTACGGGCATAAATTTCACCAAGAATATTTTACAGCTGAAGCCATACCAAATGAGGCTCGGGCAGCATATATTAGTGATAGGGAAGGGCTGTTTAGTTTTCGTGCTAGAGGATGAAGTCGGTGCACCTGGGCAGATGGCGGTTTGGAGAAATTATGTATGTATTGCACTTTCACCCCTGCCTGGGGTCATTTTGCAATTTCTGGAAGTCTCGCTGGAGTACTCCTGCTGTGGTTTGCAACTTCTGCATAATTACACTTTCAGCCTCGCTAGGGGTCACTTCTGCAATTCTCCAACATTTCGTTATGGTAGCTGTCACAGGGGTTTCTTTACTCAAGAAATTTTCGCCCGTGCGGCCTGATTTGCCCACCAAATCAGTCAGCCTTCCTCTCGATTCTCTTCGTACAAAACGTACAAAACACAAGTCTTTTAAGCCACATAAATGAACACAAGAGTATGCAGCGGAAAACAAACACACAAGCACGTTTACGGGCAATGCCCAACCTTTATATTAATTTCCCACAAAGAATACAAAGGAGACTAAGGTTAAAATCCTCACTCGGAATGTCCACAATTGCAATCTGAACTCTCTAATGCTAGATTGGTCGGATTTGTGCCCTCATAGCCAAATAAATACAAGGAAGAAGGTAGTTTTCGCATAGACTACCTAAGGACACATGGCAGCATACATACATGACACTTGGCTAACTATTACAAGTAATAAGGGGCAGTTTTTCGTGCTTTACAGGCCTCAACCGCTCCGTAACTTCCTTCAAATCCGCCCACAAGGCTGATTTTCGAAGCCCATCTTGATCGGGCGGGCGGGCGGGCGCGCGCCGAACGGCCCAAACAGCCCGGCCGGTTGCTAGGCAGCCCATCTGCCTTGCCTTTTCCGCACGTTTTGCTTGCCTTTACCGATTACTTGCTAGTTCTTTGCCCACACGGTCATTAGCACGCCCGCACATCGGGCTGCCTTGCTTGACTTGCCAATCAGTCGTGCCAGCTTGCCCACACTTGTCAAGTCGTAGTCGATTTCCTTCGAACGTTCGTTTGCCCAAGTTATCAGCCACATGCCGATTATTGTCCACGCTTGTCCGCATTGCTGCCGAGCAACGTCCGTGCCAGCCACAAGTACTTTCGATCACCGTTCCCACTTGAACCAAGCCGATCCTTGCTTTCTCGGGCAAACACCCCCGAATGCTTGCCCAACATTCGACCACTCATTGGCCGATTGTGTGGCTGTCTTGTATCAATCCTCACTTGGCACCCTTTCTCGGCCATGACTCGGCCACACTCGAGTTATTACCGATATCACCGATTAAGGGGGTAACAATAGCCTAGGTATTGTTAGACTATTCATTTTCTACGTCGTTTTGAGGTTTTAATGCAACAAACTCGGTAGGTTATTTTCTGATTTTTTAATTACTATTGTAGGGATACTCTTTTTAATAAATTGATTTTTTCTTGGTTGATAAATGCGTATGTGTGCATTATAATAAAACATTCCCTAATGAAATATGCTCTTAAAGGTTGAAGCACTACCTTTTAAATTTGGATCTAGGTCTAATTTGAGATTGATGATTCTACGTTGAATTTTTTTAATTGATGAATTGCCCCATTGCTCAATCGTAAAGTACGTTCAATTTAGTTTTGCATTGTACCTTATATATATTAACAAATGGAGGTGATAATCTTTGTTCAAAATACGTTAGGAAAATGTGATGATACATCCATTGAGATGTTGGAACTGGAGAAGCAATCTGATGAAGAGAGTTTTCAATTGCTTTCAAAACCATTGAGCAACTACAATTTTTTTAAATAATATCGGTTTTTTGTTTTCACAACTTTGTAATAACTCTATACCTTTTTGTCCTTATGCATTTTACTGGGTTGAAATACGGGTGACTTGCATGTTTGCGATACCACAATAGGTATCAAATAGGATTGAATGAAAATCATCTTATTTGGATATTTCATATGTGGCATGAATGATGGGCAATAATACCAGAAGAGATATATATCAACACTGTTAGAGAGCGGTGATGTTGAGAATGTTATTACTCTGACAAATATTACCTAATAGGATCCTCTCACAATATGTGAACTATGTCTTAAAATCTGTCTTAAAACCAATCAGGGCAGGAGGATTATTTTGATTCTCCGAAACCAAATGAAGGGAGCTTGTCTTATTGTTCAAAACCACGTTTAAGCAATCAAGATTGTCATAATATAATGAACAGACTTGTTCAATTTCTGCTCAAAATGTCTACTGGAATGAATATTATGATGATGGAACCTCTCACGTTTATTTCAATGGGATCCCAGATTCAACTAGAAAGTACAAACAAGTATGTCAATCTTCAGTCTTTCATACCATTTTTCTTTCTTCTTTTTTAATTTTTCCGATCTGAAAGTAATTTCGTATGCAACACCCCTCTCTTCTACTTGGGGAGAGGCGCTCGGAAAGGCATCATTATGTACTCAAATTCAACTAGCAACTAGCAAGTACAAAGAGGAACGTCAAGCTTCACTTTTTCTTAGCTCTTTTCTTTCGTCTTTTTTTTGCTTAAAATACTCAAATAGACAATTCTTCACATGATCAGATAGCTAGTTTCCATTCGAGGAGATACTAGAAAATACAATTATATACCATTCAAGGTATGTTTAGTTTTTTTTTTTTTTTTTTTGGCCAAAAGATTTTATTATTCCATTTAAGATAGGCAAGAGGGGGCCTCGTTAAAACCTTGTGGGCCTAACACAAGGAAAAAGAGTACCCCTACAATGGAAATAAAAAATCAGCGTCTAAGGTAACTAGGCTATTACAAATTTGACCCAAAATGGGGTATAAAATGCTAATATTAAAGTATGTAATGCGGCTATTCATAACCACCCCCAAATTTCTTGTACTTCGCCTAAAAGCCCCACAAATGGGGGTCAATTTGTAATTTTTGAAATTCCGCCTCCCTAGCCAACATCTTTTTGCATAATGCATAATCACCCCGAAGCTTATTCCATCTTCCGATTTTATACAACCAATGACTCTCTCTTCCAATATCCGAAACTTCCACCCCCAACACAGTGTGCTCCTCCCCCTCATCCTTAGATGTAGTTCCGCGTATCTCATTTACGAAAATTTGCAATACCGAGCTTATCACTAATGTATGCAGCCTTCGCTTCTTGAGGCATACTGTTCCCGGAGAAAAACTCTTGATAAGATTTATGTGTATAAGCCCAATTGGCTAAACGGTCTGCCACCGTATTCTCTTGGCGAACCACGTGAGTGATCTTATGGTATGGTCGAACCTCTTGCATGCAAATCCGATATACGTACTCCAGATCCCACGCCACTCCCAGATTCTTGATCGCGTTGACCGTTAAAAGAGAGTCCGTCTCGACTACAACTGCTCCAATCCCTAATGAATGACACAGGCGAAGACCCACGGCCACCGCAAATATTTCAGCATAATTATTCGTACCTCTCCCAAAGAAAGCCGAAAAGCTTGCAATAATACCACCTTCTGAATTACAAATGATGCCCCCGCCCGTACACATCTCGTCTTTCGCGGACCCATCTGTATTTAGTTTGTATGTTCCAACAGCAGGAGGCTCCCATTTATGCCATACTCCACGCCTAACCATTGGTTGTGGCCCGTAAATACCTACTGCTGCCAGCTGTAGGAGTTGCGACTTCGTGGACATTGTTAGAGTAGGTGACCAACAAGCCAACGTGTGGCTGTGGTCTTTCGTATTTATTATTGTAATAAACGAACCTTTATTCGTATTAATGATTAAAACACCTTGGCATTCTATATCTTTGTCCCTTTGTCACAAGCATAGATATAGTCCTTACAGTTATTACAAGTACTAGTAATTGATCATAAGGATCGTGAGATATTTACTTAAGTATTATAACTGTTAAACGTGTTCCTAGTCAAAGGGTTACGCCACTAATGAGGATATCGGCCTTTCCCATTAAGACTAGCACTTAGTGTATGTGTACTGCATCTCATCAGTAAACGGTATTGTGATATCGGCATGCATAAGTGGGTGCTCGTAAGTTGACGAGTTCACTGAACTCCCTCACCCTAGAAATCTCTAAGTGGTTCCCAATAATCGAGTAGAGATATCTATGGTATAGTTGTACACCATTAGTCCTTATGACCTAGCTAGACATCACCGTGACTTCACTAGAGGACCAGCTGTATCGTGACCTGTCCCTGAGTTCCACCGAGGACCATCCCAAGGGCCAGTGTTCGTGCAGTCCGAAATCTAGTGGGAGGTCTGTGCATTGTAGTCAGGGATTCGATCGCTAGAATATTCTTGGATGTCCTGTGTGTTCTGAAAGTTTGTAATCATTCTAAGTCTCTGGCCAGAGCTGACTAAGTGATGATTAGAGAATTCGATTCTCTAAGTCATGCACGTGACGATTACAACACTTTGAACGATCGCACCGTCATCGAACAAATAAAGAGGTCTCGATGAACCAATGCCTCTAGTTCGATCGGGACATATGAATCGAAGGGACCGTACTGTACGTTAACTATATCTGAAGGTTCTTGCAGGCACTTCATTTGTATCTAGGGAATCATGACGCGTAGTTGCTAGACGCCAATCTTGATTCGTTGGGTGATTAAGGTGAAACGAGCTTCATCTTAATCGTAACTCGAAGGGGACGAGTTTTGACCACAAAGGGTTGTGGGCCCACGGCTAGCTTACACCTGAACCATCGAGGGTCACACTGCTCGTGCACATGAGATCTTTGAATAAACGGTCAGAGATAAAATAGTTTATCTTTGCATGATTGGAAGTCAATATGATTGAGTCCAACATTCATAATTTGGAATTATGAATGAGAATAAGAAAAGGAAAAGAATAGGCGAACGTGTTAGTGAACTTTCTAAATCGGGAAGTTTCCAAATTTAGAAAGTGCACTGAACTAGGGTTTCCACTTTTGGAAAGTTGGAAAATGAAAGATGGCACTCGTAATGACGAGGGAATTATAATGATTCCGAAAATGTAATCGTTGCAATTTTTCGGTCATTGAATTGAGAGAAACGAGCAAGTAAAAGTACTAGCGAACTTAAGCTGTTGGGCCCGGTCCAACTTAAGCCCGCTAGGGTTTTATGCAAGGGACTATAAATACATGATTTATAGGCCTTGCACAAACATACAAAAACCCTGATCCTAAGCGGCCGTCCACTCTCTCTCTCGGCCTCTCTTTCCGCGGCCATCACCGCGCCACCGTCGCCGTTCCGTCGCCGGAATCGGCCGTTCATCGGCTGTTCCTCTTTCGGTATTCTTTCTCTTTTCGTTTCTTCCGTTTTATTCTAACTACTTCGTGTCTAGTGCCACGTTTTAGTAGATCGAAGTATACGAGGTGAAATCCGAGAGGAGGAAGATCGTAGATCGAAGAATCGAGGAGCAACGCACGAGCCGAAGCTGCACGCTGCCCCACGCGCCGCCCCGAAGCCGCGCGTATACCGCACGCGCCGCCGTGACCTCACGCGCCGCTGCTGCCGCTGCACCGCTGCTGCCCCGATTGTACGGATTGGTTTCCGTAGCAATCTCGACGTGTTAAACGCTCTTACCTCACGCGTCAAGAGGTAAATCCACGAAACCCTAGTTTCGTTTCGATTAGGTTTAGACTATGATTTCATGTTTGTTTCGTATGATTTTATGTGATTATGTGTAATCGTTTTAAATCATTACAAGCATGTTATTTGGTTTAAACGCGAGCATGTTAATTGATTTAAATTCGGTTAAATTTATTAGCATGTATGTTGTTTTTAATTTCGCTGTAAGCGCAAAGGTACGCAATTAATTGATTTAATTTGTCGGGCATGTACTATGTGCGTTTTAAACTCGTTTAATTCGCATAAATTTTTGTTTTCCGCTGCGTATGCGTGCCCGATTCCCAACAGTGGTATCAGAGCTCGTTGCGCAATTAATTGCGTTCGTTTTAATATGCATGTTCGATTTATTAAAGTAGTGATTGTCGTATTATGTAATTGGGAGTTTTCGTAAGTTTAAAATATTTTTGAAATATTGTTTAGAGTTTTTCCAGCTTTAAAATTGTTTAAAATTGGAAAATCGGATCTGAAATTATTTTTAAAACATCGTTTTTTTTTTAATTGTTCGGATCGAACCGGTCGAACCGGCCGGTTCGATGGTTGTGTGCGATTTAGTTGACCGAATCCACGTGGATTCGGGTCGGTCAGACCGGTTCCCGGTCCGACTGACCCGGCCCACTGATTTGGGTCAGCTGGACCGGACAGAACCGGACCGTTTCGGTCCGAACCGGTCAGACCGGTTGGGCCGAACCGGTTCACTGAAAATAAAAAAAATAAAAAAAAATTTATTTCAGATTTCTAAAATTAAATTTAAAACAAATTGATTTTAATTTTTGGAAAATTATTTTCAATTAATCCCAATTAGATAATTGGATCGACAATCATCTATTTTAGTAAATAGGTGTTAGATTAATTAATTAATTTAAATTGTTAAATTGATTTCAATTAATAGAACACATATATAATATTGATTATAGTTCAACTTAATTAATAGTACCTCAACATTATTTGAATGATTTATGCTAGTTGAGGTTCTATAATTATTTTGAAAAACCCGATAATTAATTAATGTAATTAATTATATAGTTAGGTCGTATGTTCCTCTTAGGACAATATGCGTTTCCATATACCTTTAGAGAACATAGATGTAGGAATCACATAGACCAATCCAAACCTTCTGATGAGATAAAACTTTTAATAAAACCCCTCATTCTTAATTTAATTGAGAATCATTTCAAGCTATAAAGAATGACCCAATCTGTTGAGTTATTTCTTTCCTTCTGCCAACGGTTGGATTATGTGTAGCCCTTTGCTGTAGTGCAGTAAGCCGTGTTAGCGGGGAGTGCTATGGTAGAGTAAGCTGTAATTCAATTGACATAATGATGAAGGTAGCCATAGAAAAGGGTTATGTTGGATTAACGTGGTCGGCTAGATTAACTAGGGACTGCATTAGTTTGACATAATCAAGTTCTATGAGCATCTTTGATTGGTAGGTTAGACTTGACACACGACGATTTTGATATTCGCGAGATTAACTTAGGTCATTATCAAGTGTGAGGAAAATCAATTTAGGGTCATATTGTGGATATGATTGATTGTGATCTACCTTTGGGCAAATATAATCGGGCTAGATTAACTACGGGTTATATTTGTCTATTGGACCTAAAGCCCATTAAGAAAAATCAGTTTTCTCGTTTGTCTACTAGAGGGAAGTGGAACTCGATAAAATTAGTGGGAGAACAATTAAATAACATAAGACCAAACATTTAATTGTAACAATCATTTAACGCGAATCTCTAATAATCCTCTTCTCTATATGTCTCAGATAATCATGTCTAAGAATCCCATAATGTCAATCCTCGACAATAAACTCAATGGCCCTAATTACCTAGATTGGTTGCGTAGTCTTAAGCTTGTGCTAACTGTTGAGGGGCGTCTCTATGTTTTGAACGAGAGGCTTCCCGCCACTATACCTGCCACAGCGACTGATGCTGAAAAGGAAACTTATGAAGTTTGGAAGAAAGATGACACTCATGCTAGGTGCTATATGATAGCCGCCATGGAGCCCGCGCTTGCGAGGAAATATGAGTCTCACTTGCATGCTTTCGATATAAAGGCTCATCTCGATAGCATGTATAGTGAGAATATTAGGGCATCGAGGTACGCTGCTACAAAGGAGTTGATCACGGCGAGATTGCGCGAAGGGACTTCGGTCCACGAGCACTGTCTCAAAATGATCACTCTCCTTGAAAAGCTAGTGAATCTTGATGTCACCCTCCCGGCCGAGCTCTCGTTGGATTTGATCCTGTTGTCTCTTCCTAGTTCCTATGAATCGTTCATAGTGAACTTCAACATGAACAAACTAGATCCTCCGTTGGATTAGTTAATGAACATGTTGGTCAGTTTCGAGTCCACCATTAAGAAAGAGAAGTCTGTTCTCATTGTTGTTACTTCTAGAAAGAAGAGTTCTTCCTAAAAGAAGGAAAAATGAAAGAGTTCCCTTTCCAAACAGCAAGTTCGAAGTGGGTGAAGGTAGTGGGGGCCCCTAAGGCGAAATTCAGCAAAACGTAAGGAGATAGGTCAAAACCCCGCACAACTTTGGCACGCTAGATTAGGTCATGTCTCTTTAAGAAGGATGAACGATTTTGTTAGTGAAGGACTGTTCTCTTTGGAGGACGTGAAATCACTACAAATTTGTGAATCTTGCCTTAAAGGGAAAATGACCCAGTCACCCTACAAAGGGAAAATGGAACGAGCCGAGGGTCTTTTGGATTTGATCCATACAGACGTATGTGGTCCACTAAGTGTTAGTGCGAAGGGTGGATATAACTACTTCGCTACCTTTACCGACGATTATTCTAGGTATGGGTATGTGTACTTGATGAAGTACAAGTCTGAAACATTTGAAAGGTTCAAAGATTTTAGACACGAAGTGGAAAAGTTACTCGGACGAAGTATTAAGAAGCTGCGATCCGATCGTGGTGGAGAATACTTGAGCATCGAGTTCATTGACTATCTAAAACAAAGTGGGATACAATCCCAATGGACTCCACCGGGAACTCCTCAACT